TGTTTTGTTTGTTTGTCATTTCACATTAAACTCATTTACTTCTTTCTTATACTTCATTCTGCCTGCTGGCAGCCATAATCTCAAAACGTTCCATCTGTGCTGCAGCCAATTTCTAAAGCATAATTTGAAAGAGGTTATTAAACCATTAACACTAGAGAAATCAAAACCAAAATGTGTGATGGTCCAGAGAGAACTTATTGTTAAAGCACATGATCTTCTTAGCATGGAAAATCTTGATAATATAAACAGGTATAAGAGAGGGTCACAATTTCTTTTAGCAATGCTTTTAAAACCCCATCTACCTATCTTGGTTGTATGTATAAAATATTAACGTATTGATCAGGTTTTAGTTATTTTTTAATAATAAAAGGGCTTAATGCATAGTTCATAAAATATTGCAGGCAATTGTTAAATGGAAGGCAAATATAATATTTTGGTAAATAATACTAGGGATGTGTGAATCTTAATATAGACAACTTGACTCCAAAGAATTGGGACTGATTCATTTCATAAACAAAATATTTCAATCGGTTTAATGCAAGGTATCAAATTGAGTCATGAGTTTTTTGGAAACATTCAAAGCCAATTCAGAAACTCACATGGACTTCGTAGATTTTGCAGAGCCTTCTAATATGTAATCTCAGATATAACATAGTCCATTTTAGAAACACACAGAGGCAGACAGATTTATGTGTAACATTAGCAGAATTGCAAAGAGAATTCTCATCTAGTTGCTAACATACGTTCCATTCTCTGATAAAATCTAAGGGTTTGACTTCCATTTAAAGTTCAAAAATCCTCTGACCTTTTTCTCACCCAAAACTGATGTGGGGGGTTTTGATTCTCAATGGTTCAATGGAATACAACATCATGAAAATAGAAGCCCCCTACTCAGTCGCTTAAGGTCTTCACCCCAATAGATGTGTTTCAGAGTAGGTTTTCAAAACCTGTTGCATATGTAGTTGGGATTTTTTTCCCTCCCATTTTAAGCTGTAGCAGAAGAGAAGAATTGGCTTACTACTGTATGTATTAGTCTGCATTTATTGCATCAGTGAGGATGATAGCATTTTAGTTTGTACTGTGTAAGACATAGAGATTCATACATGTTCTGAATACAAGTAAGAGAACAAAGATTAAATATGCGTTTTACATTTACTTCTAGTAAAAATGTAGCGGCTATAGCTATTTATACAAAATCATATTCATGATCTAGTTCAGCTTTGGTCCTGCTGACTGTATCAAACCTTCAGGGTCTCAACCAATGCTTTATTCCATCCCTTGTTTTTATTTTCAAGAAATCTTGATCATTTGTCACGGAATGTATTTTGTATTGTATCTCAGCATTCTTCATTACTCTCATTATTTTGGTTAGAGGAAGCCTAAAATGTGATGTTGGAGAGAACATTGATGTTGTATGAAATGGAGACAGAAGGGATTAAGTTGACAGAAGAATATTAGTTCACACACTAGGTGTAGGAGATGACCAGACTAAGCCCAAGTGAGGAATCAAATGCAGCCTCAGTCATGAGTCCCTTCTCACCCACAAGAATCTAAGTCCAGGCTACCTTAAATTCCTTTGACTCTTACCTACCCCCAATTTGTTTTGGCCATTAGTAGTTCAGTTTCTTGCAGAGAGCTGAAGCTCACACACAAAAAAAACCCTTTGTACGCATTTGAATTGCCTGGATTTTCTAATATCCCTGGGGCTTGACACTAACATTTGTTTTGTGCAAACAGAGTTTGTGAGAAAATGAAACAATATAGAAAAAGAGATGTAAGTATACAATATGCATAGGAATATATTCCAAAAGTAGAAAGTAAAATAGATGAACTTTATGGGAATTTGCATGAACCACTATGTAGTCAAAAAGGCTGAAGCATTTTTTAAAAAAAGTCCAGGTAACAAGATAACATTGGATATGCAAATGCCTGCTTGATTCATTGGCATATAAGAAGGAGGAGGAATAAATAGTACAATCAGCCTTGCACAATTTTGTTATTACAGCCAAACTCAATAGAAGTTTTTTTAGCCCTCCTGTGGAGATGATTTCCTCATCTGCTCTAGATAGTGGAGCTGACACCAAGCAAAAATTCATCATTTTTAGTGGATTTTACATCCAAATTTTTGAACTTTGGTGTTGGAGAAGACTCCTGAGAATACCATGGGCAACCAAGAAAGCAAATAAATGGAACATTGAACAAATAAACTCAGAGTTCTCAGTCAAGGCACAATTTATCCTACTTTAGACACATTATGCAAAGACTTAGTGTCAGAGAAGCCTAAAATGCTGGGAAAGAAAGAAAGAAAGAAAGAAAGAAAGAAAGAAAGAAAGAAAGAAAGAAAGAAAGAAAGAAAGAAAGAAAGATTTTCATTAAGAAAGAGAAATACAATAGCCAACATTTGTAGTAACTGCAGCATAAATCTCACATATTGGTATAGTCTTCTCCTTTCAGAATTTGTATTATGAGGCTTTTCAAAGATTACTGTATTTTTCGGAGTATAAGATGTACCCCGCTGAGGGGGTTTCAGAGGCTGAAAAAACAGCCTCTGAAATGGAGGTTTCAGAGGCTGGGGGGAAAAAAAAGCAAAGCGAAGAGCTCACAACCAACGAACCTGTTGCTAAAGTTCACCTCTGGGAACAGCTGATTGGGGGTATTCTGGGAGGCCGATCTACCCGCCAATCAGCTTTTTCATATTTTCCTCCCCAAAAACTAAGGTGCGTCTTATACTCTGGTGCATCTTATAGTCCGAAAAATATGGTATATTACCTAAAAATAGGATGTGCAGCAGCATCTTTCCAAACATCTTTTGAAGTTGGTTTATTTTTTTTTAAAAAAAGAGCACCAATGTCAACATTGCAATATAAATACAAGATTGAGTATTGCAGGCCGTTTGCACCCAGTTTTCTATCTTTCCAAGAAATGATCTAAACTTTGTGTCCTTTGCATAAACATCAGATACTTGGCCTGCTGACATTACACAAAGAATGCAAACACAGTTGTATGATAATGATATCAACTTACATGCAACTGAGCTACTCCCACAAACACTGATTACCCTACATTTCTGATGATCCTTATCATTATGACCATTCTCACCAATCTGGTTCTAAGAATTGCCAAATTATTCAAGGAAGTTTCACATATCCCAATTTAAAATGTATATTTAAAAAAAAACACCACCTACTAGCCTTTTATCTAATATCTTCATAGTGGCATATTCTATTCAAATTTGATTAACTGATGTCAAAAAGTCAGGTTCCATTCTTTTATGCTGACATCGGCTTCTGTAAGTCTAGCATGGGTGATGTACTGATGATCTGTGACAGTTTAAAATAAGCTTGGAGATACCATATCTCAAAGTCATTTTTCTCTCAGCACTATTCCATAGGCATTTATTTTCCTCTTTGGGTGGGTAGGGGGGAAACCAAGATAATTTACCAAAATGAGCCATCAATGTCCAAACCACTAAATCTAGAAAGCTTTAATCTCAATTTAGTTTGTTTATATTTAATTTAAAATGCATAAAGACAGGCAAAAAGCTTTAAAATATATTGCTTCCAAGCCTCATTTGTATATTGCCTTAGAAAACAGTATCTAATTGGCACTGCTAACTGTGCCTTATAAAGATGTTTTCATAACCAGTGTTTTTTCCAAGATATTTTATCTTTAGCCTACATTTGGAATTGCATTTATCACACAATTAGCTGATTGGCCACATTTTTTCTAACACATACACACACACACACACACACACACACACACACACACACACCAGAAACAATGTTTAGCTCTTTAAAAAGACACATGTCAAAATATCATGGATCACGCCCTTAAGCATAAATAGGCAATATGTAACTTTCACTGCCATCTGACATATTTATCTGAAATGGGAATTCTCTAAATAATCTTCTTCTAGAGTAAATTGAGTAGAGGACTGAGATCTCACAATTTTTCAACAGAATCTACTGGAAAACGCTATTATAAAAAGCTATCCTGGAATTGCCATAGAATTAGACATTCTGATCGAATAGGATATCTTGAATGAAAGCAAAAGAACAATGCACCACAGCTGCTTCTTTATTGCTATATAAAGATGAAGTGGCTGGGCAGATAGAGTTTGAGTGCAAATTTCAAGAAGGAAAAAAAATGTGAACTGGAGATTGTTCATCTATATTCTATATGGGACAGGATGCAAGTATCTGTTGTTGCATGTTAGAAAACTCCTTTCCTCTGGGAAGCTGATCCAAGATATTTTCACTTAAGGTAAAGGTAAAGGTTCCCTTCGCACATATGTGTCAGTTGTTCCCAACTCTAGGGGGCGGTGTTCATCTCAGTTTCAAACCAAAGAGCAAGCGCTGTCCAAAGACGTCTCCGTGGTCATGTGGCTGGCATGACTAAACGCCAAAGACGCATGGAATGCTGTTAACTTCCCACCAAAGGTGGTCCTATTTTTTCTACTTACATTTTTTACGTGCTTTCGAACTGCTAGGTTGGCAGAAGCTGGGACAAGTAACAGGAGCTCACCCCCATTATGCGGCACTAGGGATTCGAACCCTGAATTGCCTACCTTTCAACTGACAAGCTCAGCATCTTAGCCACTGAGCCACCACATCCCTTTATTTTCAGTTACCTGGTAGAAAAAAGATTCCAACATCCAGTCTTGTTGATGTGGAGCACCATTTTTGAGGTTCTGTATATGTTGCTCTGTGTCTTCTTCTTACTCTTTTTAATGAATCTGCATTGTTCATATACTTCAACTAGCATAATTATTAATAAATCAGTTGTTGAGGTCTTGGCCTCAGTGCTAATTTCATCTGAGGGAAAGGAATCAGAGAAATAAATTCTTAGCAACATGCCAGAGAATCACTTTTCTGGTTCTCAGATTTCAGAAATTTCCTAGGTCTGTTTTCTTGAAGACCCAAGTTAAGGGCAAATTTTAAATAACTGTACTTGATAATATCTCCCCTCTCTTAACACCTTCTCTTTTTCTCTCTCAGGCTGTATCTCAAGGGTCATTCTGGAACAGCAGGAAAACAAAGCAGCCTGATATTACATGGTGCTGACTTTAGTACCAAAGATGCTGACAATGACAATTGTATGTGCAAATGTGCTCTTATGCTAACAGGAGGTAAGCATCCAGTTACAGAATCATACATAATGTTTGGATGAAATGACAGAGAGGAAGAGAACATGATTACACTATTTCTGAATGACTTTTTTCATTCTTATTTTTTCAAGGGATTTCAGTAAAGTTTGAATATGGAAAACTTGTACCAGTGGTGGGTTTCAAATTTTTTTACTACTGGTTCTGTGAGCATGGCTTGGTGGGCGTGGCAGGGGAAGGATTGTAAAATCTCCATTCCCTCCCCACTCCAGGGGAAGGATACTGTAAAATCTCCATTTACTCCCGATCAGCTGGGACTTGTGAGGCAGAGAATAGATGGGGGCTTGGCCAGTCAGAATTTTTACTACCGGTTCTCCGAACTACTCAAAATTTCCACTACCGGTTCTCCAGAACTGGTCAGAACCTGCTGAAACCCACCTCTGGCTTGTACCCTTGGCTTTCTTTACTCCATAACTAAAAGCACACACTTAAGAAAGAGACAAGGGATCAAATGAAATAATAAGCATGATGAACTCATCTCTTTGGGCTTTTTCAGACTAGAAAGTCTGATCACCCGGGAAAATTCAGAATGATGAAAATTTATGCAACAGATAACACCAACATCAGTAGTTGTATACTTCACACCTCCCAGTGAAAAAGCTGAAAAACATACAAGGCAGCAAAAAGAAATTCTCAGTTACACTATGCTGAGAATAAGATTTTTAAAAATCCAAAAACTTCCTATTTTCAAGGCAAGATAGCTGTTGATAAATTGCAAAGCAAATGTTGTAATAGCATTAGTTTATCTTTTGGATCCCAAATGTGTAAATGTTCCTGGTTGGGTATTAATTGAGTTTGGTTGGGTTGTAAAAACTCTGAATAGATTAGTATTATGTTTATGTTTTTACCATATGCATCTTCCTACAAGATAGAAATTTAAACATTTCTCAATAATCAGACTTAGAAAGATGTATTGAAATAGCTTGGTCCCAAAACCAGTTGTGAATATAACTTAATAAAACAATTCATCTTAGAAATAATTGTATTCTGGACAGTAAAGTTCCTTATCAGACTTTCTGTTGGTCTTGGCGATCCATGTAGACAGCTCATTCATTATAAATTATATAAAATATACATGAGTTCTGTAGCTATCTTTGATAGACTGGGTGGAATTCTGTAGTTTCTCTGAGAAATGAAGAATATATGTGGCAAATAACAGCATATATGAACTGAGCTGCTGACTAAAATAATCAGGGTTAACAACAATACATATGCATTTCTTGTTTAATTTGACATAAAGCAGTTTCTTGTAGGGAAATTAAATCTTGTTTTGACTAGCATCTCATTTCATATGAAGTTCTGTCAGGGATAGAACTTCAAAGTGTTGTGTATTTCTCTCTCTTTCTGTGTGTGTGTGAGAGAGAGAGGGGGGGAGAGAGGGAGGGAGGGAGAGGGAGAGAGGGAGAGAATAACACATGAATCCAGTAGATACATCTTTTTCAGAAGTTTCTTGTAGGGAAATTAAATCTTATTTTGACTAACATCTCATTTCATATGAAGTTCTGTCAAGGATAGAACTTCAAAGTGTTGTGTATTTCTCTCTCTTTCTGTGTGTGTGTGAGAGAGAGAGAGAGAGAGAGAGGGAGACGGAGAGAGGGAGAGAAGAGGGGAGTATAATAACACATGAATCCAGTAGACACATCTTTTTCAGAAGTAAGTTACAGATCTTTATTGGGAAATGTTTTCCATTTACTGTATATAGACAAATATTCCCAGAATCCTTTGTGGGCACCTATTATACTTACATTTGAATAGAATTAATGAACAACAAGTTATTGAAGATCTGGGAAAAGATTCATATACATAAATAGACATCCTATTACTTATTTCCTTGAGTACATAAGCATTTATGCAATCATTTCTTGTGATGTTCATAAAGCATTTATGCAATCATTTCTTGTGATGTTCTGTACAGCACACCTGGAACAAAGATATTAAATCTACCACCCTCTACCACCCTAGCAACATTTTTATGCTTCTTTTTCACTAGTATATAAAATTACAATATACTCCTTGTTTAATAAGAATCAATGCCATCTATCATGGCCTTTGGAAATATTTTTCTAATTTTCATTTAATACATTACTTTTTTTTTCTTCTTCAAGCAAGTAGATCAGATGCATATACTTGCTTTCAATTTAACCTAGCATAAATCCAAAGTATTTGATTGGATCTTATTTTTAGCTGTAGCAGTATTGGTACAACCTGAAATCAAGTTAGTTGTTTTTTCCTACTTATGAGTAACTAAACTACTATAGTTTATGGTATGAACAAATAAATACTAAAATCACTTTAGTGCTTGTGCTTGTAAACTAATGAAACCAAAACAGGAAATTTTTTAGTTGAATTGCTGTTACAAGTATATCCAATCAATTTCAAGACTTCATTTATTTATAGCAGGAAATTACATTATAAGATAAAATTATATTGTAAGTCAGGAGTGAAGCTATATACAGTCAGCAGTAATTACTAATTATAATTGTTAATTAGCTATATCTTGTTTGTGGCCATTAAATTTGTAAATTTTTGTCATGGTGTATTACTACCCTGTTCTATAAATAGGACTGAAGGAGAAAAAAAGTGTATTATTTGTATTACCTGTATTATCTGTCTTCAGTCATTGTTTATCATATAGTTAGGTATGTATTTCTTTATTTATTCATCAAATATATATGGCCATCAACCTCAGGGAGTCATACAAACAAAAATATAAAACAATAACAATATATAAAAAACAGACATTATTAAACAGACATTATTAAAAATCATAAAAGTTAGAAGAGTTTAGAAGTTAACAGCAACATGGAGTCATCTCAGGATCTCACAGTTCCCCTGGGACCTCCAAGCCTGATGACATAACAGGTCTTGAGGTACTTCCAGAAAATAAACAGGGAAAGAGCTAACCTCCATATAATAAAATAATAATATAATAGTGTAACATAGTGTAGCATAGCATAGCATAAGGTAAAGTTAAAGGTTCCCCTCGCACATATGTGCTAGTTGTTCCTGACTTTAGGGGATGGTGCTCATTTCTGTTTCAAAGCCGAAGAGCCAGCGCTGTCCGAAGAAAATCTCTGTGGTCATGTAGCTGGCATGACTAAATACCAAAGGTGCATGGAACGCTGTTACTTTCCCACCAAAGGTGGTCCCTGTTTTTCTACGTGCTTTTGAACTGCTAGATTGGCAGAAGTTGGGACAAGTAAAAGGCGCTCACTCTGTTATGTGGCACTAGGGATTCGAACCACTGAACTGCCGACTTTCTGATCAACAAGCTCAGCGTCTTAGCCACTGAGCCACCATGTCCCTATAGTGTAGCATAGCATAGCATAGCATAGCATAGCATAGCATAGCATAGCATAGCATAGCATAGCATAGCATAGCATAATATAATAATAAATATATGCAATATACCAATTTCTTAGCACCAAAAAATCTAATACTGTGTGGACTTCTACTCTAAGCCAAATCAGGAATAAATTAGCTACTTAGCGCTGGTTCTAATTTTTGTCCACATTTTCCCTTAATCTTTTCCCTTGTTCACATAAGGGAAAAAACTCTGCATCTTCCCAGGAAAGTTACAATCTGAATGGGTGCTGCATTAGATTAAGATAGTATCTGATGGGATTAATCTGTGATGACTGATTCAAGCAAGCAGGTCATTACTTGTTACTGTTGACAAGAGAAAAACATTCATGTGTGTGAACTGGATCACTCAGATCAGAGATAATAAATGGCCTCTCAGATCTGACAAAAGGGAACCTACTTAATCAAAGTAGCCAGTCATGAGCTCTAAAATCTACAGTCTAGTAGATTATTCCTACAGGCATAATTTAGGTAGACTGTCATCCCATCCTGTGTTGGAATTCCTAGAGTTTAATTTGACTGGTTAAGAAAAATCCCACAAAATATTTCATGGTATGACTGATCCTGTAAAGTGGATTAGTAATAGATGCTACCTTCTAATCCATACTTTTGGCAGTGTAAATGGTTCCAAGAGCTGCTTGTGTTGACTTAACTCTGAAAAAGAAACAAACAAACAACAAACAAGAAAGAGGATTAGTTTCTTCTTTCTTGTTAAGCTTTGTCTTAAATTTCTACAAGATTATGTTCTTGTTTCAGTTTACCATCAGTTAATCTGCTTTTTTTGTTGGTTATTAGCCCCTAAAGTACAATTTTGTAACAAAATAAAGGTCAACTGATCAACATAGCAAAATGCAAGAATATATCTGGCACCAATTCTTCCCAAAAAGTTTGTTATGAAGTGTTACTTCAGGGGTGGAATTTTATAAATATGCAAAATATGCAAAACGGTGGTGAAATAATAATCCAGTGGATTTAAGCAGAAGAGTATAACTCCCAAAGTTATGGGTTAATTATTGTTATTAATACTCCCGGTGTATAAAAACAATGGCTCTTTTCTTTCTGATACTGAAGAAGCCAAAAATATAAAAGCCATAGCAGAAATGAATTCAAGGCTTCTTCAATGAATTCGTCCATCATCTCCAAAGATTAGATAGGAAATTCAGAATTTAAGGTTTATATTTTAATCAGAAAAATAACAGTATCTAAGCATTTTAGTTTTGGGGGAAAATTGTTATTTGATAGAGCCAAAAAAATCTGATACTCTGACAGTATTCTGCTAATGATGTGCAAGGAACTTGATTATTATTTACCTGCTCTGCACTTAATTATATCCTGGTTTATGCAGTAACCTGGCATTAAAATTTAACAAAATCAGCACCTAACATCCTTCTCCTTTAAGGGGTAAGAAAATAAAATAATTCAACTTTAACGTCACCAAAAAATGAACCCTAAAATTTGGTCTCATAAATAGGATTTTTGATAGAATAGCAATAGCACTTAAACTTATATACCACTTCACAGTGCTTTATAGCCCTCTCTAAGCGGTTTACAAACTCAGTATACTGCCCCCAACAATCTGGGCCCTCCTTTACTGACCTTGA